AGAGTTTGGTTGTCAGCGTTAAGGGTGCAAATAATTTCATTTAAAATAAGTTTATGGGGGTAATAGGATTTCCGCAAAGAAAAAATGTGTAGTTGAAAATTCAGGTATAGGTCAGGGGGTACTTATGCATTTTTCCATAATTTTATCTTTTTAAGATATTATTTCAAGGTTGGACTTAGAACTTTTGAATGTTCCAATAAGTTTATAGCCATTAATATTAGCAACTTAAATAATGCTAACAAAAGCCCAAACCAAAATCAAATCAATACTAATGCTAACAAAAGACATTCAATTCAATAATACGAACAACAATGTATTGCATATCTATTTTTTGTTTTGCAATAATTTAGATAAAAATGCATAGCCTATTTTCTTTAGCATAACCTATGCATGACTTAGTACTTTTAGATTATGTTTATTTTTATTATGACTTTTTAATTAGCAATATTTATATTACATAATTTTATTGTCTTTATTGTTGAATATTTTAGGATAATGCCATGACACATCTCATATTATGTATTATTTTTTTGAAAAATACCTTATATAGTTGTATCTTACTAGGATTAAAGAAATATTTTGAGCACAAGTTATATGTTTTGTGCTATGAAGATTTTACCGAAAAAACCCTGAAAAAACCCAAAAAACCCGAAAACCCGAGATTGAAAACCCCCAAGTTTTATTGGTTTGGTTTGGTCTTTAGATTTAATAACCCGACCCAATTAGTTTAGTTTGGTAATTGCAAAATTCGAACCAACCCGACCTATGTACACCCCTAGTCACGAGAATAGATTTGTCTATTTTCACAAAAAAAAAATGGCTGGACTTTGAAAAACAAAAAATGAAACATTAAGAAACTACAAAATACACTCTCCGTTCACTTTTACTTGTCCACTATGATTTTTGCACACCCTTTAAAAAATAATAAATGAAGTACATAATTTACCACGATACCCAAATTGGCTGATGCGTATTTTTAACGAAAAAGGGTTAAAAATGCCCCTAAACTATTGGAAAATGTTTGAAAATATTCTTCATCCACCTATTGGGCTAAAAATACCCCTCCATCCACCTTTTTGGTTCACTTATGTCATTTGACCTTTAGGTCAATGGTGAATTAAAAATAATAATTATTTAAAATCCACGTGGCAATTTCTTATTGGTCGAAATTAAAATATCTAACCTATTAGAAAGACCCACCTATATCTACCCGTTTTTGAACTAATCCGCCCCAAACGCTAACCCGACCTGAATAAAAAGTTCAACTAAAAAAAACGCCCCAAATGCTTACTTGCCAATCTCTGCCATGTTAGATGACTGTATGAGAGAGTACGTGGAATGGGTGAATAGCAAGACAAGTTGCAAAATGATAAATGTAAAGAACATCACAATATATTTATATATGTTCGGCTCAAATGTTGTGGTTTTTGCACTTGTCACTGTGAATGCATGATTTTCTCGATCACCATGAATGATCAGATTTATCTCTTTCTTAGTAACAGCAAAGCCATGNGAAGCCATGGCGATATTTTGACTCACTCACCCCCAACGTTTCAACAGCACAAGCACTCTCCTGTTCACCCTTTACTCCTTGAGATAACAAATAGCTCTAACAAGTGTGCATAGAATGTAAAGCTCTAAAACATCTAACCTTCTCCTTCTTCTTGTATTAATAGGTTAGATGTTTTAATTTCGATCAATAAGAAGTTGTCACATGAAATTTAAATAATAATTATTCTTAATTCATCATTAACCTAACGGTCAAAAGGCATATTTGAGAAATGATTTGAAATGAGTAATTAATACCGTATATATGATAGGAAAAAGAAAATTATCTTCTTTTAATATGCTAAAAGTAACAAGTAAACTGAAAATTTATTTTTAAAATACTAGATAAGTAAAAGTGAACGAAAGAAGTACGAGACAAAATGCAATATTATGGCTGGATTTAATTCTAAGGTGCTTCATGTCCAAAGTCCAAACACAAGTTGATCAACTTCCGAATATTCTTTTTCAATTCAAATACTATTTTTTCAAATATCAACCAATTCAGGTCTAAACACCTAAGCTTCTTGTGCATCGGCCTTAAAACTTCAAATTCTATAATCTTTTGACATAATTAATTTTCCATCATCTAATATTGGAAGTATATTCATTGTTCAAATATTTTTACTCCCCACACTATTTGTTGGCTTGTACATGTACCTTGTTTCTTGATTTTCTTAACTTCTCGTACTTGTACCGATTTGTACGCTAATTATACCCCTTTTCTTTTGAATTGTATATGAATATTCATCTTATACATAGGTCACTTGTTATTAACGTATCAATGTTGCATACATTAACAGCTATTAATCTTGAATTTCTTTTGCTTCTAGATTTTACAAGTTTTCTTGCATAGAATAGTACTTCATTAATCTTAGTGATATCAAATTTGTTAATTAAGCAATTTATTCAATAATCTCTAATGATGTTTAGTTTACAATGATCTACAATATGCACTAGTTAATAGTCTATCTCTTTTACCCTTTTAAGGGGTATGCTTTTCCGCTGTATATGGTCTTCCTCGAACAAAAGGTTATATAGTGGCTCAATATATTAAAAAGACAAAAAAAAAGTGGTGGCAAAAGGAAAGGATTTCAGAATAGTGGCAATGACAAGTGAGTATAGCCAGTAAAATGAAAGTTTTTGGCTGAAAATTTTAACCATTTACAGGACTTCTGAAATTTTTTAAAGAGAAAATCTCACTTTATACCCATTAATCCTAAATTATTTACCTTTTAATGCTCAGACTCAAATTATTTATTATTCCTACCTATGGGGCCCAAATTATTTACCCTGTTTTCCCTTGCCAACCATCTTTCTTTCTTCTATCGTCCAGTTTATGCATTAGAAAACTGCTCTTTTCTTGAAATTTTATGACAGATTTTGTTTTCAAGAATTCAAAATTTATTGTACAGAAGCCTGTGACCATTAGGTGAATGGAAACCAAGCAATTCGGTTCACAGCTGTGACCATTAGAAGAATCCACACTGATCTTGGCAAATTCTTTAGAGCTTCAAACATCTCTCCAAAAAACAACAATCCTCCTTTTTTTCCTGATACCCAAGTACTCACTGTTGATGAAATCTTTTTGTGATAACCGTTTTTCATCCACAGTTGTGTAGATTCATTAGTTATTGTTCTTTGATGTGTAGATTGTACTTTTGATGCTAGTTTTTGGAGATTTATTGTACAAAGATTTAAATCCACCATTGAAGTACCTTGAAGCTTGAAACTCATAACTTGCTTTGTTTGAGTTTTTAATTATTTTGATCCGATCCTGTATGGGTTTGTTTGGAAAGTTGATTGGAGGTTGTAGCTAGAGTTTTGGTCAATTTGGTGGAGATTTTGTAGTAGATTTTAGAAATTTGGGTTGAAATATAGTTGAACCAGAGAAGAAGATGAATTTGTATTGTATACTCAAATAGTATACAAATATACCATTTTAGTATACAATTCATTCCAACTATATACCCTATTAGTATAGCTATATACTATATTGGTATCATATGCTAGTTGAATCATTTTCTGGTTGTATTAGCTCCATTTAATTGGTACAATATTTGATTTTCTTTTAATAATAATAATATAGTACAATATCTTGAAATACCTTATTATATTAATATGTGGTACACTATTTTTTTTATTTTTCTCTTTATGCATGTGTGTTATGTAATAGTAGTATAGTCATATAGTTGACGGGAATTAACTAGTAAATATACCATGTTGGTATAATTATATGCCATATTGGTATCATATGGTAATTGAACATTGTTTTGGTTGTTTTAGCTGCATTTTAAGTGAATTCTATTATGAAATTATTTATATGAACATGAGTTGCAATGCTAGAATTTTTGTGTGCCGATGGACATAAATTATGTGTATTATGTAATAGTTTTTATAGTTATAGGCAATTGTTGGAACAACCCCATACAACTATATACCCTCTTAGTATACAAAATGAGCAAGTTGTTTTGCGAATATTTAGCTGCAATACGAGCATGTAATTTTCTCATACTTTTATTGCATCTTTTAATGTTTTGGTACAGCAGTATAGTCGTAGATAGTTGTAGCAATATTCTAGAGAAATCACATGCGCTGTTGGTATATATATATATATATATATATATATATNGTACTGATATTTATAGGGAAGTAGATCAAGGTTTGCATAGCAATCACGTGTTGATTCTTAGAATATAATTATGTAATTTATGGTGCTTAGCAGCAATCAATGTGATGTTCAGTGAATTAGATCAAGTGACAACTAATATTATTTTAGTTTAATAATTGAATTTAATAAATGAGAAATAAAAAAAAACAGAAGGTCTATTGTACAAGTTATATTAAAAAAAGGTGAACAAATATTTACTATATCAGTTATTTTTTCTTATTGTATAAAAAAATAGTGAAAACGATAAATGAAATTAGATTATGAAGAGAAAAAGAATAAAAAAAAAAGTTAAATGAAATTAGAAAAGGAAAAAAGAAAAAAATAAGAAGAAACCGAGAAAAAAGAAAAGGAGAAAAGAAAAAAAGAAGAAGAAAAGAAGCATAGAAATAAAAAAGGAATTGGAGAATAAAGGAAAAATTCCCCACAAAAATTATTATGGGTAGAAAATATAATTAGTTTATGGGTAGAAAAACAAATGTGTAGGCAATAAATATTTTTGTTTTTGTGGGTAACTGTGTCAAAACCCCTTTTTTTAAATGTTGAAAGTTCAAATAAGTCGATCATCTAGCTTTTGGGTACAATCAATTTTTATTCAAATAATCAAATAAAATAACGCTTAGATATCCACAACAAACCCTAAACCTTCCGATTCAGCATCTGCAGAATGCAGTATCATGCAATTATAATAGGCCAAATAGAACAATTTTTCTTGATTCAATCTAATTAAGAAACAACTGAATAATAGCACTATAAGGCGCTAATTATGACAAACTCATTATCTTATCATACTGAACAACAAAAGGGGTAAAAAGGATTATAGTAAAAGGAGGAGGAAATGAAAAATTAGGAAAAACCGAAAACAAATGGAGTACTAGGAAAAATGTCTTTTGTCCACTGCTAAAATCACTTTCCCCCCTTAAATCGAACTAGAATTCTTTCTCCACACTACTATTATAGCATGTACCATAATACATATTCCACATGCAGGCATGATATACAAATTCACAATCATGGCTACGATAAAGGAAAAAATTAACTGGATTAATATCCTGTACGTTAGATTTTGGAAATGACAGACTCAAACATATAGATGTTCACCATAAGTTTTATATCTTCTTCTTCTTCTTCTTCTAAATGTATTGATCATAAGTATTAAACAGCGCTAGGCCAGTAGAAAGAGTTATGCTACTAAGGTGAGACGAGAGAAGTCGGTATATATAAGCGCCAAAATTCTCTCCATTTCACTTGGCCTGCATGGTACAGTAAGTGCACCTTCATGATCAAAACCATATTCCTCAGCAGCTTGTTCCAATAGCCTCAAAAATGAAGGGTGTGTTAAGCAACTCAATGGAACCACAAATCTCTTCACTTCATCATCTTCCGCCGCAACAACGGCGAAATGCCCTTCCTTCACGTCCTCCGGCACGTCGTTTTCCCACTCGTCGAAATAATCATCGGACGGTAATTTCTTCCCTAATAGAAGACTCTTTTGTACCAATACTTTCAGATTCACTATCCCACTGTTATTTTTCTTCCCTTTTTTTCTACCCTTTGACATAATGATAGAGAAAAATAATAAGTAAAGCTACTAGGGTTTTTTTATTGGCTTTGGTTTATTATGTAGGGGTTTCTTTGGGTGCCTTTTTAAAGCATGTTACGTAGGTTATATATATACTTAGTGTGAGTGCACGAAGGAAGAGTCAGAGATAAGGTTGGTGTTGGCATGGTTGGACTGTCAATTGGTGTAAATATTGTGAGACAAAAGCATGTGAATGAAGTCATGAAGTTTCCTTTCATCTGTGGAACATCTCTTTTAACGTCATATCTACCGCTTCTTCCAATTACATAATAATTGGACATAATTTCAACTTCCCTACCATTCTTAATAAATCACTATTAGTTCCTATTAAAGAACCTACCATTGTACAACAACAACAACAACGACCCAATATAATCCCACAAGTGGGGTTTGGGGAGGGTAATATGTACGCTGACCTTACCCCTACCCCGAAGGATAGAGAGGCTGTTTCCAGGAGACAATGGTACAAAAAAGAAATTAAAAAAATAATCAGTTGTGTATGATTTAGCATTATAAGCTTAAAAATGGATAAACAACAAGCTGAGATAATATTACCTATTTACCATAACTCCGTCTCCAAATATGTATGTGATATAAGAGACAAACTGTTGAGATAATATTTAAAGATACATATTTAAAGCTTAATGTTGTAAATTAATGTGTTCACAGACGGACTAAGATTAGTCTCCACTGCCATACTGTATATAACACTAGTTAACATGTGAGAAATTACATATGCAGCCATGGGATCTATTATAGCACAAATACGAATCAGGAGAATAAAGGAACTGTCACTAGCATCTAGTTTCCAAACAAGAGAATTGTTCTGTGTTTTTAGGATCAAAATTAAAGACTAAACCAAGATAAGTGAGCCGATTTCTTGATCAAACACATGATGATATGAACCTCTTTATGATTTACTTGATTCTTAATAAAGAAGAGTTAGTTGCACTTCAAATTGATTGTCACGAGAGACAATTTTTATCAGTCAATCCTTCTTGGAACTATTGCACAAGTTAATTAGTTGCAGGGTTAGCATACACGGAACATTCTGAGAACCAGATAAGGGTGTCAAATGGGCGGGTTGATATGATTTTTGGCGGATCAATATGGGTTAAGTCAATACATGGGCGGTCAATGACCTGTCCAAAAGTTACTTGAACTGAGAAGGGCTGGGTCAAAATGAACTAAAATTTGGGTCATAGCCCAACCGGCCAAATTCTTGTCAAGTTTAAATTAATATGTGTTGTTTTTTTATAAATCGTTTGATTATCAAATAAAAATTTTTCTTTTGTTAGGGTCATATATAACATATCAAATAAAAAATAAATTATTTTACAGATATTTTAGCAAATTTACTAGTGTTAGAAAATAATACGGAAATTATAAACAAAACGGCTTTAGGGCGTGAAAATAGACTGTACTTAAAGAGTTATCGCATGTATAATGATTTGGGAAAATACAAACGATTCTCTTCGGGATACAACAAAGCCTGTATAATATTTGTGACTCTTTTAGAAAAGATATATTGTTTCACAAAGAGACATATATGTTTATTCGAATTTTAAATTTAAATATATAGTGTACTTAATTGATTATATAATATTTAATATAGTGTCCAAGTTCAGTCTTTGATTATATGATATATTTAAATATATAGTGTACTTAATTGTACACACTTAAAAAATATGTGCCTAAATTAAAGACATGAAAGTAATAAGTGCTAATAAGATTCCAAAAGAGAGACTTTCGATGTGGAAACAATCTCATACTTCCCAAATTCAAAATAACAAACTATCGTGCACCTACAAAGGATCGGACTAATGACATATACGATATTTAAATTCTTGATTGATAGTTGGTTCTCAACCTTAAAAAATGACGAGGGTATCTCGAAACGGGCGTGGGGAGATTACCACCTCGGAATGAAAAAAGTACCGTCTCTTGGAAATATCTGCATTAGTAGGGAAGATTTAAAACAGACTTGACAAGTCAAACGAAAAGTGATTGTACGTGGTATCTCCAAATTAGGGAAAAGAACAAGAAGATTAAAAGAAAGAAGGGGTCAGTATATTCATGTGAAGTTATGTCATCATTAATAACCTTCAAACTTAAGCTCTTATGGAAATGAATAATTCGTTGGAGCAATAACTTTCAAATACTCTGTGAGCAGTGTGAATTTTCACGAAAGAGTTTAAAATATAAAAAAATAAACACGCTAAAATTATATGATAAATAGGGCGGGATAACGAAAGGGAAAAAGTAACCTTAAACCGTCTTTAACTCGCCTTATCATGCACCATTTAACATTTCTTCCTACTTTTTCCATGCCCCCTTGAGTGCTTTTTAAATTATTTTGTGTTTCTTTGTCTCACTTTGCAGTGTTTTATTTTATTTTAGATTTTTTTGTTTTTTTTCCTTTCAGTCATATATTATCTTTGAAAATCGCTAACAATGGAAAACAAAAGATTTTACTAATGCCGGGAAAGAAATCTAGAAAATAGGAATTTAATTAGCTTTTATGCATTAAAATCTTTGGGAATGCCCAAAGCTAAAAAAAAAGGAAAAATACCGCAACGTGAAGGAATTGAACCACCAACCTTTGGGGAGAATTGTATGGGTCAAAATCTGATCACAAGTGGGATATCATTAAAAGGAATGGTAAGGGGTCAACCAAGTCATAGTCGTACCCACTAGGCGTAATAGCAACGAGTATCTCGACCACTGTCGAGATTGAGCCATTAGAAGGCTTACACGACAGAGCATATGTCGTAATACTTGGGCGAGTAAAGAAGAGTATAGTCATGAAAGGGTACGCTACTTAAAGTCGCATTTGCGATCACAGGTTCGATACCTGCAACTGTGTAAAACACGACTTAGACGGGATTTTGAACTCATTTCTCAAATTTTCAAACCCTAAGCTTCCATAGGCGATTTTCCAAAGAAGAGTTCTTTCCCAAAACATAGGTAAACGATTTCTAATTCATTTCTTTCGATCTATTTCATCTTTTTGCAAGATTTCATCACAAAATCTAGGGATTTTCATGGGAAAATTGGGTGTTTTGGGTAAGATTTAGGAATTTTGAAATTTGGGGATTTAGACCTCAAATTGAGGTCGGATTCCAAAACCAATTGCATATCCGGGCTCGGAGGTGAATGGGTAATCGGGTTTTGGTCCGAACTTCGAGTTTTGACCAAGCGAGCCCTGGGTCGATTTTTGACGTTTTGGGGAAAATGTTGGGAAATCTTTGATTATGCGTTGGAATTGGTCATTTATTGATGTTATTAAGTTAATTATGGCTAGATACGAGTGAATTGATGGTAGAATCGAGAGGTAAAGCGGTGGTTGAGATTTGAAATACCCGTTAGCTTGAGGTAAGTGTTTGGTCTAACCTTGACTTGAGGGATTAGGGATCCCCGACTTATTTGCTATGTGAAATTCCATGTGTGTGGCGTATAGGTATGGTGACGAGTACCTATGCGCCACCAAATTATCATTTTAGCATGCTCCCTTCACTGTTTCCTTATATATTGCTCTCCTGTCTTAATTGCTACTTGATCATAAATATTTTCATGTCTAATTGCTTCATATTAACTGTTGTTTTCTTTACCGAAGTATTTATTCGTTTCATGATTTCGTTTTATTACCCTTTTAGCTTATATTGGTTTATTGGTGCTTCATGGTATACTTTTGTTGGTCTCGCTGTGTAGTTTTAACTGGTAAAGTTTCATAAACGTTGTGATATTCCATTGTGTGGATCGAGGTATAAGTGTTGTGGAGGATTTGAGTTAACTTTTAAAACACTTGTCTTTATTTTTATAATTGGTGCTGATATATATATTGGGATCGGGTTGCACGCCGCAACAGGAGAAATAAGGGTGAATGTGATTGTCTGGTGGGATCGGGTTGCACGCCGCAACAAGGAATAATAAGGGTAGATAGGTGGAATCGGGTTGCGCGCCGCAACATAAGGAATAGTGTGATATGTGTTGAGGAGTAATAAGGGTGGACTGGTGGGATTGGGTTGCACGCTGAAACAAGGAGTAATAAGGGTGAATATTGATACTGTTACTGTTTATAGGGTGGGATCGGGATGCACGCCGTATCCGTTATTGTTTTAGTATTCATTTCTACTGAAGTTCATTACTGAGATGTTGAAACTCCCTAAGGATTGGTTATAGCTGAGTACTGGTAGAACGATTGGTTTCCGTGGTCACTTAATGCAAATTTATGTTATATTTCATTATGTATTTCCTTTCCGCTTTAGTATAAACTATTGCAGGTTATATATGTTGTGATGCCCCATCGTAGCCTCATCACTACTTCGTCGAGGTTAGGCTCGACACTTACCAGTACATGAGGTCGGTTGTACTGATACTGCACTTTGCACTTCCTGTGCAGATTTCGGAGCTAGTGGCTGATCAGAGTCGAGGTTGCTGCTTTCAGTCTACAAGAGACCCAAGGTAGTCCTGCAGGCGTCCGCAGGCCCTGGCGTCCTCTTCTATCTTTACTGCATTCTGTTTTACTTTTCCCTCCGAGACAGATGTATATTTTTCTTTCAAACCAATATTTGTAGTATTTGTAGACGGTTTGTGAGTTGTGACACCAGTTCTGGGTGGAATTTATTACGGTTTTCGTTATTAGCATAAAGATAATCTTTTAAACTGTGTTCTTCCACATTTATTTCCGCTGATTTACTTTTGTTAAGTGCTAATTATTAAAAGATAAAGGGAAAATGTAAAATATTCTGTAAAGTTGGCTTGCCTAGCGAGTACAATGTTAGGCGCCATCACGGTCCCGACGGTGGGAAATTCAGGTCATGACAGTTGGATAAAGGGGAAAATTGGTAATATATNGATAAGAACAGGAGGGGACCTCCAAAAACAAAGCAAAAGCCTAGATTTTGGTTATAACCCTTCGTAATCATTATTGTTGAATCAATAAATATAGATCTCATAGTTATCAATGACTTTTCCTCTTTTCCTTCTTTGATCTCACAAGTACGGAACATATCCTATTTGACGTACTTACCTTATACACCAGT